GGCCAACAGCTAGGGGGCACCACAAAGCGAAATCCTCTGTGCCATTCCTGTAAAATGGGCCGGGAGGTCAGCCTTAAAATAGTGTAAAAGAGATGTGGAACTAGAGGGCAGGGTGGAAGGAGGGGCCATGGCTAGGGAAGTCGGACAGAATCAAATAAATAACAAAAAAATACTATATCAGGGAACAACTAAATGGATTTTAGTTATCAAAACTTAAGGTAGAATAGGAACAAAAATACAAGTAAATGTATCCAATGAAATGAGGAGAAAAACAAATATATCGGACGTGAAAATAATTAACAAATCACTAAGGAAAATAGCAAAATCTTGAAAGTGAAACAATTGAATATTAAGTAGAGCTAAGGAGAAACGTCAACAGAAATTACAAAATGCAATATGGGAAAAATCAACAACAAATCAAAGCAAAACAATCAAATGGTACAACAAGATCATGGGCAAAAACAATGTAACTTGCTATTCAGATGTCAGCTGGGCTCGCCAGCAGATGTTCCGGCAGGAGAGCAGATCGAAATGAGCAGAGTAGGAGAACAAGTATACAGGAAACAGTTCGACGATCAGGAACAGTTCAAGAACAGGAAAAAAGAGCTGGAGGAAATGGTGCGAACTAGTGAACTGGTGTGAAGCAGGAACACTCACAGTTCCGAGGACGCAGGACACAGTTCGGCCAGACGCAGGAAGAGCGGGGCGAAGGTGGCTACAGAAGCTGAAAAAGTTTGAAGAAGGTGGCTGGATGGACGCAGATTGAAGATGGCAGCGAGAATCAGGAAAATTGTAGAGAAGTCGCCAAGGAAAATATGAAGATGCTGGAACAGTTTGAAGATGTTGGCTGGACCAGGCGCAGGAAAAATGGAGAGATGGATGCTAGAAGACAGGACACAGGACAGGCAAATGACGAAAAACTTGTAGGGGTATCAGGCAGTTTATACTTGACGTACAATGAAGGGATGGACGAAATGAAGATAGTTCTAGCCAGGACGACGACGACGACTGCAGGGACGTGGAGAAACAGACGTTCTGTTTCGTCTCTTCAGCAGCAAGAAGTTCAACTCACACAGAGTTACGGAATATAGGGGCTAGAAGATGAAGATGAAGATTAGATGTGGAGACAGATGTGGATGTGACGATGCCTTGGGCAGGTGAAAAACTGCTGCTACCAACTGTAACACAAGGTTTAATTTTATGATTTTTCTTAATTGAATCGAATACTGGAACTTACTTTATTTTTGCAACTGTGTGACGTTGCGTCCAAAACCATCGGACTTCGTCAGGCAACTGGTGACCCGGTGGACTGGTCACGTGAGAGACGGCTAGGAATCCCTTGAATGGCCCGGTCCCATTTTGTGCCACTGCTATTCCTTATCAAGGATCACAACATCCTCATTTCTGAGAGTGTGACCAGAGTCTCGTAGGTGTAAGAAGACAGCAGAGTTTTGTGCCTCGTTTGTGCTAGGCCGCCGATGTTGGTAGGTCCTGGATTTTAGGGATTGTTTGGTTTCCCCAACATACGACTCCGAGCAGTCTTTATCCCCGCAGATGATCCCGTATACCACGTTGGAACGTGTATCTTTGGGCTGTCTGTCCTTCACTTGAACTACTTTCCCCCGTAAGGTGTTGAACGGTTTGAAGCAAGTGGCAATGCCACGTGACTTGAAAGAGTTCTTGATCCGTTCAGACAGTCCGGCAACGTAGGGGATGGTGACCCAGGCTTTTACTGGCTTCGCCCGCCTTTGTCTTTACGTTGGTGTTTGTTCTTGTTGACTTTGTGGAAAGCCCAGTTGGATTCCTAGCCGTCTCTCACGTGACCAGTCCACCGGGTCTCCAGTTGCCAGTTGAAGTCCGGTGGTTTCGGACGCAAACGTCGCACAGTTGCAAAAATAAAGTAAGTGCCAGTATTCGATTCAATTAAGAAAAATCATCAACTACTACTGGATGACTGATAACATACATTAACAAGGATTTTATCATAGGCGGTATTTGACTATACCAAAACTAGAGTCATGGTTACTATCAACTGGAGAGATGTATACAAAACGATGTCTCAACGTAGCGGGTATAGCCCGAGCGGACAGAAGATCAAGTTGAACAGAAGAAACTTTGAACACTTGAAGAAATAAAACTCCTGACAAGGATCATGCGTATGGCAAAATTGTGATTTGTGTAAAAAGAAAAATCACTTTGCTTCAGTATGCCGCACCAAGAAGTTCTCACACAGAGTGCACACAGCTCAAGATGAATCTGGTCCGCGCAGCTCCACATCTGACGATGAATATGCGTTCATCGTCCATCGCGAAAACAACAAACAACTGCGAATCGACATCGTCATAGACGGTAAACATACCTGTGCCCCAATTGATACCGGAGCATGTCAACATAATGAGCCAGACAACTTTCAGCCAACTCTTTCAGCCACATATGCACCCAGACACAGCGAACATTTACGATTATGGTGCAAGTACTCCACTTCCTGTCGTCGGTAAAGTCACCGTGACAGTCACGTACAAAGACAACTCCATCAGCTGCGAGTTTCATGTAATCGAGGGACAAGGCGATACGCTTCTATAAGCTTCCAGACTGCATCGTCACTGAACATTAATGTACAGATAACGTACAATCTCGACGCTGAATCATTGTCAGTTGACAACATCGTGGCTCAATACGCCGACCACTTCGAAGGAATTGGAAAGTTGACTGATGTGAAGTGCAAACTTCATGTTGACAAATCTGTCACCCGTGGCTCAACCGCATCGCAGGATTCCCTTCCACGTTCATCGTAAAGTGGAGGCTGAACTGAAACGCCTTCAAACACTCATCATCACTAAACCAGTCAGCGACACTCCAACTCCCTGGATATCATCGATCCGCGTGGTACCCAAGCCTAAAAACCCTAACGCCATACGACTCTGCATTGACATGCGTGCCGTCAATAAAGCCATTGAACGAAAGCGGCATGTCACACCGACCATTGATGACATCATCGTCAAGCTGAACAGAGCTCAAGTATTCTCGAAACTTGATCTCAACAGTGGGTATCATCAAATCGAATTTGATGAGGACTCGCGTTATTTGACCACCTTCTCAACGCATGTTGGTCTGTACCAATTCAAGCGACTCAACTTCGGAGTCAACAGTAGTGCTGAACAGTTCCAGAACCTCATCCAATCTACATTGTCTGGACTGCCAGGTGTCCTGAACATAAGTGATGACATATACTTGTGTACGGGAAAACCACCGAAGGGCACAAAAACAACTTGGCACGTTGTCTACAACGCCTCAGAGAGAAGAACTTGACACTCAACAAGGCCAAATGCCAGAGTTCCATGCAAGCAGTGTGGAATTCTTTGGTCATATCTTCTCAGCAGACGGTGTTGCACCTAGCCCCGCTAAGGTGAAAGCACTCACTGATGCAGTACCTCCAGGCAACAAGGAAGAACTTCGTAGCTTCCTAAGTTTAGCCATGCACCTACTGCGCTCGCTTCATACCCAGACTAGCGCTGATCTCTGAACCACTTCGTGCACTAACGAAGGAATCATCTCCATGGATATGGGAAAGCAACAAAGCGACGCAATGGACAAAATCCAACAGTCCATTTGCAAGAAATACTTCAGTCATTATTCAAAAGATGGGAGGAATGTAATGTTTAAATTATAACAATGCATTTGTATAGTCATCTTCTACTGCATGTGTTCTAGAGCAGTGTATGCTTATGACCCTTGACCTGAATGGCATGGGTGAATCATGGCATGTACTAAACTACACACTCTCACACGAGGTATCAATACTGCACATCGTGTCTCCCTCGTCCTTTCATTTCGGCTCCCATTATTATCATTCATTTAAAATAGTCTTAGTCAGACATCATAGGGTCTATGTGTTTTTATTTGAAGCACAGACTAAAATCACTTGACAGAGAATTGGTTCTGGTGGAAGTCCAGAATTAATGTTAATGCGCATGCGTGGCTAGCAGACGCACTCATTTTTGCTCCTCTCTCGATGAGCTTTTAAATCCATTTTAATCCTCGTTTTTTAACATGCATCCACTTTTTTAACCCATCGTCCTTGTTTTTTACTTAGTTTTTGTAGTCTTTGACAGCGATAGTTTTCTTCTACGTTGGACTTTTAAGTGTTTTTTAGATGTTTTCGTTTGGACTTTAACTTCATGCAACGTGACTGTGTATAGCTGTCTGTGTAAGCTGCAATGGATCTTCGTCACTCAATAGTTGGGATTCTTCTGGGATTCTTACTTCTTGCCAAAACCACGAACTGTTCTACCAGTGAAACCCACAACTACAGCATATCGAATTCTACTAGTGTCAAGTGTGAAACCATCATCTCCCGGGTGAGTTCGTTCCATTTACTCTCAAAGCTTCGCCCATGTGTTCTACAAAATGGCGGACCCTACATGCACAACAGAACTCGTAATCTGAGCCATTCTGTGACAACTGCAATCCTTATTCTGTTGCTGTCTGGGGACATTCAACTGAACACAGGCCCACGAACTACAAAAGCACCTAAATACCCCTGCGGGGTGTGTGGGAAAAATGTGAACTCCAACCATAAAGCCATGGAATGTGAAGAATGTGTAACATGGTGCCATATCAAATGTGTCGGTATGAGTGACAATTTATACCATGTACATACGCAGCATAATTCTTATGTTTGGATATGTTTCAAGTGTGGGATGCCAAACTTTACAGACTCATCACTGTTTGTTTCATTTGATGTGTCAAACCCCTTTGATATTCTCAGTGACTTGATTAACACCGTGACTACGAATGGGAGTGGTAACGGTATTGCCCCCGAACATGTACAGGGCATTGGTAGCCCGATACACTCCTCCAGCCCAAAGCAACAAAACTTCAAACCAAACATGCCAAAGAATCACCAAAAACCTGGCCATCGTAATCAACGCAAGAAACTGCTTAAAGTACTGAACATAAATTTTCAAAGCATTTGTAATAAAATACCTCAATTCCAAGCAATGCTAGAAACTGAAGACCCGGATGTAATCGCAGGAACAGAGACTTGGTTGCACGACTCAGTTTACTCCAGCGAATTCCTGCCCTCATCATACCAGATTTTTCGAAATGATCGACAAACCGATACCTCCGGCGGTGGTGTTTTCTTGGCCATTAAATCCAATCTTATGGCTAAAGAAGAACCTGATCTGAACACAAACTGTGAATCTGTATGGGCCAGTATCCACATCAAGGGTAACCCTACCTTATACCTCGGCGCCTTTTATAGACGCCATTTTGGATCTACCGCAACCAACCAGGTCTACTTAAAGGAACTAGATGCTGCTATTTCAAAACTCACCAACAACTGCCAAATTATCTTAGCTGGAGATTTCAACCTCCCTGACGTGGATTGGGTGAAAACTTACTTCACTCCCGGGGGTCGATACCCAGCCCTTAGCAAGCAAATGATCGACATCGCTCAAGATCATAATCTGCATCAGGTTGTGACTAGCCCTACTAGGGAAGATAACATTTTAGATCTGGTCTTCACAAACATTCCCTCACTCGTCCAGAATGTCAACATCCTGCCTGGTATATCCGACCACGATATTGTGTCTGTGGAGATTCTTACTTCTTCCAAAAGAATCAGGCAACCACGTAGGAAGATATTCTTGTTCAAGAAGGGAAACTTTGATAAAATCAAAGAGGACATTAATGAATATGCCGACTCCATCTCCAAAGAAGTTTATTCCGCCCAGTCTACAGACACACTCTGGTTGGGATTCAAACACGCACTAACAACTGCAATGGAAAGACACATACCCACTAAGATGACAAGTACCAACAGCAGTCTTCCTTGGTTCAAGCAGTCGCACAAATGCATCATGAGACGTAAGCGTAAAGCCTATGATAAAGCCAGAAGTACGGGTGCTACCTCTGACTGGGAAATCTTCAGACAGCTGCGCCGCCTCTTAGACCGTACTTTAAGAAAATCTCGTAGTAAACATCTGCTGGATTTAGGTGAAAACTTGACATCAAACAACACCAAGCCCTTTTGGAGATACATTAAGAGTCTCAGGCAAAGCTCAACTGGTGTCTCAACACTCAACACTGCTAAAGGTATTGCTACAACACCCATTGACAAAGCAAATGCCTTAAACAGTCATTTTCAGTCTATCTTTACTAAGGAAAACTGTGACAACATCCCAAACCTTGACAGTCCGAAGTTTCAACAAATGTCTCCTATTATCATCACAACTGCGGGCATCAAAAAGCTGTTGAAAGAGTTAAAACCACAGAAAGCACCAGGCCCTGATGGCATCCTTCCAACGATCCTGAAGGAATGTGCTGACAGTGTTGCTCCACTCCTACAACAAATTTTCCAGAAATCCATTGATACCGGGGAGCTGCCAGACGACTGGCTCAGGGCTAACGTCTCACCTATCTTCAAAAAAGGAAACCGTTCAGATCCATCAAATTTCCGGCCCAATTTCACTGACATCCATCCCTTGCAAGTTGCTCGAACATATTATCCACTCTAACATCATGTGTCACCTTGATCAGTACAACGTTCTCAACAATGAACAGCATGGGTTCCGCAAAGGCCGATCGTGTGAAACCCAACTCACCCTGACCGTAAACGACCTTGCTAAAATCCTAGATAACCAAGGGCAAGCCGATGTAATCATCATGGATTTCAGCAAAGCGTTTGACCTAGTTCCACATCAGAGATTATTGTCAAAGCTGAAACATGTTGGGATCTCTGGCTCTCTACTCCACTGGATCAACACTTTCCTTACAAAAAGATCTCAACAAGTAGTCTTAGAGGGCAGTTCATCTAGTTCAATAGCTGTGACATCAGGAGTGCCCCAGGGCACTGTGCTTGGACCGCTACTCTTCATCTTGTATCTCAACGACCTTCCGGAAGGAATTTCATCTCAAGTGAGACTTCTGGCAGATGACTGCATATTATACCGTGAAGTCCAAACTCCAGAAGACAACAAGAAACTACAAAACGACATCGATACCCTTTGTAACTGGGAGTCCAAGTGGCAGATGCGATTTAACGTCACCAAATGTTACGCCATGCACATGACCCACAAAAGGAAACCTCTTCTGTCATCTTACAAGATAAACGGCAATTCTCTCCAAACAGTCACAAATCACACCTACCTGGGAGTAGAATTAAACAACAAACTGAACTGGGCCGAACACATAAGTAACTCTACTACTAAAGCAAACAAAGTTCTTGGACTGTTGCGCAGGAATCTGTTCAGCTGCTCCACCAAAGTTAAAGAAACTGCATATAAGACCCTGGTCAGACCCAAGTTAGAACATTGCGCCAGCATATGGGATCCATACCATCAGGACCACAAAACTAAACTTGAAGCTGTCCAACGCAGAGCGGCCAGGTTCGTCTGTAAGGACTTCAGGCGCACAAGTAGTGTCTCATCCATGATCACCCACCTCGGATGGAAATCATTGGAGGAACGCAGAATCATATCCAGACTAACCTTGCTCTACAAATCCATTCACCACAAATTCGCAATTGATGTTGATCAGTACCAAGTTGATTCCAAACGGGACAAAATGTCAACTAGAAAATCATCTTCATTATCCTTTGTTCACCCTACATCTAAGAAGGACTGCTACAGATACTCTTTCGTACCAAGAACAACAGCTCAGTGGAACCTACTTCCTCCAGAAGTCAGGGAAGCTACTTCAGTGGAGTCCTTTAAGTCAAGACTCCATGAGATGCAGTTGTCTTCAACACTAAGGGGGCCTACTAACAAAATTGTTTAGGGATGCTGCTAGCCACCACGCGCCTGCAACCGTATATCCCATAGTGGAGTTTGCTTGCAGTACGCTACAGATACAGATACAGATACAGATACAGAATCGAGAGAGAGAAGACAAGAGAAGAGTGAGGACTTAGGGGGAGAGGGGCTGATTAAATACAGAAATGAAACAATGGATTGTGTGTAAGTTCATTAAACCAAGGACAGCAGATACTAAGAATCTAGGATGTGGTTCTAGGTCTACGACCAAGCCCAGTGTAACCACACAAATGGAGACAGATTGTCTATGAGAACTGTCTGTGTGGACCACAAAGTAGTTTAAAAAAATCATAAAGATGTCAACGGGGAAGTGGGGAGAATGTAATTAAAATTAATTGAGCTTCTAGATCTGGGCTTACACTAATGTAAGTTTTACTATTACACTGGGTTTGTTACCCATTACAAGTTCAAGTAGAGAGTAAACCATCAGTATAACAATAATGTCCTGCACAAGCAGTGGTATAAGTACAGAGCCCATGACATCATATCGAACACCAATTGAGCAGCGATGCTGAAGTGACCATTTCATTTGCCTTTTGTGCCGCTTACAATATGGATGCATCCCAGGTCCCCCAAGAACTTTGACCCTAGTAGTCACGCCACTGTATGTGCACAGTGAAGAACTTGTGGAAGAATTGTAATGGGAGCAAGCGCGGATCCGGGGGGGGGGGGGGGGGGGGGGTGGGGGGGGGGGGGGGGGCAAAAAACTGCCACCCTGCCGAGTCCAAAATAATGTCCGCCTTTGCACAAAACACGGACAGAGGCAGCTTGGTTAGGGGGTATATGTACACTTTTCTGTGATATAGTGTTAATAACCCGACGGATTTGAACAGCGACCCCATTGAAAGTATGGTACGAGCCCCCCCCCCCTTGATTTTCGGAGGTATAGTGTCCAGAAAAAAACCTGTCTACATTTAAGGGTTTTTTTGCCGATGAACCCCCCCCCCCCCCCCCCCCCCCCCCCCGCAAAAATTCCTGGATCTGCCCCTGGGAGCTAGAGTAAAGACATGATCATTATTAAACCAAGTTGAAAAAATTAAGCTGAGTAAAAAACACAATACAGTGTAGTTCCTTGTCCAGGCTTTTTGAAAAAGGCAATGCCTTTTTTTCAAGATGGCAGATTTTCGGAGAGATATATTCTTCCATTTTCTTGTCTCTTCTGCTGATACATTTGCATCCAAAAGAGTCATTAACAAAAACAAAAAAAATAGTTTCTTGTCTTGATTTGTTTTTAAAGGGAGGTGGCAGCTTTTTTTTTCCAAGACGGCAGATTTCCAATGATGGATTCTTCTCGACTCTTTTGCTGATACATTTGTCACCAAATGAGCAGTAGCACTTTTTACAACGATTTTTATCTTGCAAGTGTGGCAGGGCCAAATTTATCTTGTATATTTTTCATGTATGTAGTGTATAGTATATAGGAGTAGCTCCCCTTTAGAACAAAAAAAATCATTTTAGTTTTACTTAAAATTCCCCCCCCCCTTTTCTTGGTAGTGTGTCCCCCTGGTTGTTTACTTTAGCCCACATGTTCCCCCTATATAAGCTGCCACATGGTCAAGCCACACTTTAGTTCAACCAGCAGACCAACAGAGACAACTTCATAGTATTTATATGTTCCTCCTAACTGGAGAGCCTGTCCTGTTTGAGCTCTGTCTGCTTGAGTCATTTGTGTCAGACTTTATTCCTGCTTGAGTGTTCTTTGAAAGATCCACTATTCACACTGTGTTGGTTTTTGATTTTAGGGTTTAAGTCTCAATTTCTTGGTTTTTTTTTGGTTTTAGTCTTTGGTTTTTAGGTTTTATTCTTTGCTTTTAGTTTCTGGTTTTTGGTTTAAGGTTCTTGTGAATAAATCCTTTTTGGTCCTTTTTTTGTTCGAAATCTAGAATTCGTCTCTGGTCTCTATTAATTCAATTTCCTCGCGACTTTTCCCTTCAAAGATCCTGAGTTTAGTTTAGTTTTGTTAGTTAATCCCCATAGAGTCTTAGTTTGTGCGAGTTCCCCCAAGTGTGTCATTTTTCACGGTTACACATGCATAGCAGTGTGTACCCTGCTGCTATGCTGAAGCAGGCTACCTCGCTGAGTAAAGGCTTTACCACAAGTCTCACAAACAAATGGTTTCTCGCCAGTGTGAACCCTGCTATGCTGAAGCAGGCCACCTCGCTGAGTAAAGGCTTTACCACAGGTCTCACATTCGAATGGTTTCTCACCAGTGTGATTACTCTTATGTATGTATAGACAACTTTGCTGAGCAAAGGCTTTACCACAGGTCTCGCAAACAAATGGTTTCTCGCCAGTGTGCAGTCTGTCATGCTGAAGCAGACCAATTTTCTGGGCAAAGGCTTTACCACAGGTTGCACAAATGAATGGTTTCTCGCCAGTGTGAACCCTGCTATGCTGAAGCAGGCCACCTCGCTGAGTAAAGGCTTTACCACAGGTCTCACATTCGAATGGTTTCTCACCAGTGTGATTCTTCTTATGTATGTATAGACAACTTTGCTGAGCAAAGGCTTTACCACAGGTCTCGCAAACAAATGGTTTCTCGCCAGTGTGCAGTCTGTCATGCTGAAGCAGAAGACTTCGCTGAGCAAAGGCTTTCCCACAGGTCTCACAAACGAATGGTCTCTTACCCGTGTGTAGCCTTCCATGGGGGAGGTTGCTGGCTACCTCTGTTAGTGTAAGGGGAAAAAAAACATTTTGCAACAAATAATCCAAAATTCAACACTTAAAATTTTGTAGGATTGAGTAAGTACTACACGTACATGTACAAGTGTACATGGCCAAGAGAATATTTCTTCGAATGGCAAATGTCCATTCTGTCGTGGACATGATTTTCTGCCTTAGTTATACACAATGTCAGTTTTTGGCTTTTCTGATATCTTTGGATTTTGTAAACACAGGGCTAGGCTCAAGTGCAGATCCAGAGAGGTTATTACCCGGCAGTGTTGTAGTCGAGACCCTGCAAGACCATCACAAGACCAACCCAAGACCTTCAGCCTCAATTCAAGTCACAAGCTATTCAAATGAATTGCAACAAAGGCATGCCTTTGTCATTGTTCGTGCCCTGTTACTTGTGGCTGGTCTTGTGACTGGTCAGGTGCATTACAGACACACTCTCGGAAAAATGGTCCGGATAACATTGTTAACTTATTTCTCATGATGGGACTGCGGTTTGGCCGAAGTCAATTGAGCGTGATCGGCTGACTGATAAGGTTTACGTACAAATCCCCGAGCCAACGAGGTTTTTGTATAGAAAGCACCCGGACCACATTTTGCGAGAGTGTGTCCGTAATGCTTGAAGCCTGCCGGTAATACTGCCAAAGTTACCAGTGGCAACCCTACTGCAAATAGGACCCATTTTTGGACCCTAATTTTATCAAATCTGCTCTTAGATAATAGCCCAAAAGCTAGGGAGATGATCCTCGGTTATATTCGCACGATTCCACCGATTTTTAAACTAGACGGTCTCGTTTTTTACAAAAAAATTGTGGGGGCACTTTTTATGCAAATTAAAGACTCGGACGCGTAGAAATTTTTGAAACCCTAATCAAAATTATTGCGCCCGCTGTCGGTCTTATTGCGCCATTCTGATATATCTTCTGTCTGGCACCCCCCCCCCCCAGCCAGCCACTCCATGGTTTCTCGCCATCTTGAACCCTTTAATTTTGGCTTAGATTGATGAGCGAAAGCTTTACCATAGGTTAGGGGGGGGGGGGGCGGAACGGTCCATGGCGGTTGGGCGCCCCCAACGAAGGAACGTGTCTCATTTCTTTCCAAGACAGCAGCGCGCACACATCTCTGGCAGGCAAACCCATTGTAACTGTCCACAACGCTGTCTGAACTTGGTGCGGCTCTGCATGGCCCTGTCTATGACGTATACAATAACACAGAGCTCTAGCTAGAGCTACAGCGCGATTTATCATATTACAAGCCCCCAATGGCCCCAGGGCCCCCCTCTGGCCCCCCCCCCCCAACCACAGGTCTCACAAATGAATGGTTTCTTACCAGTGTGTACTCTGCCATGCTGAAGCAGTCCACTTTGCCGAGTAAAGGCTTTACCACAGGTCTCACAAACGAATGGTTTCTCGCCAGTGTGCAGTCTCTCATGGTCTCGGAGAGTACTTTGCTGAGGGAAGGCTTTACCACAGGTCTCACAAACAAACGGTTTCTCACCAGTGTGCAGTCTCTCATGGTTGTCTAGATGGATTTGCAGAGGAAACGCTTTACCACAGATTTTACAAACGAAGGGTTTCTCGCCAGTGTGTACCCGGTCATGCAGACGCAGAGCATACTTCTGAGCAAAGGCTTTCCCACAGGTCTCACAAACGAATGGTTTCTCGCCAGTGTGCACCCTGTCATGTTTGAGGAGACCAGTTTGCTGAGTAAAGGCTTTCCCACAGGTCTCACAAACATATGGTTTCTCACCAGTGTGCAGTCTCTCATGATTCCGTAGAGCCCCACTATGAGAGAAGGCTCGGCCGCAAGTCTCACAAACAAACGGTTTCTCACCACTGTGTACCATTTCATGTCGTTTTAGAGTAGATTGCTTGCCAAAGGCTTTCCCACAGGTCTCACAAATGTATGGTTTCTCACCAGTGTGAACTCTGTCGTGAATTCGAAGAAGACTTGGTTTAGTAAAGGCTTTACCACAGGTCTTGCAAACGAAGCGTTTCTTACACTTGTGCACCCTCTGATGGGCCCGAAGATCACTTTGTGAAGTAAAAGATTTATCACAGGTCTCACAACCGAATGGTTCCTCACTCTGTTTCAGCCTATCATGACTGTGATTGCTGGCTACCCGTCTGAAGTACTGGTCCATCAGAATCCCACTGGCAACATCTGTTAGTGTTGGGGGGAAAAAACAAAATATCATTAGTTAAAGAAACAGGGCCCTTAACTACATAATTGCGTGAGCTGTAGGCCTAAACTTTTCTAACAAGATTAACAAACAATAACAGCAACATTCAGTAATAAACATTATTTTTGAACAAGTGCCCTTTTTTTCTGAACAAGAGCCCTTTAAAAAAAAAGAAGGCCTTTTTGTGCCAGCGGTCGTAACTAGTCCCTTTTTGTGAATTTTGCGCGTCAAGTCGGCCTGAAAAGCGCCATTTATTGTCCGTTAGTGTGCATAATCTAATTGCAACCCCCCCTTGCCCCCATTGGAAGATGGTACCAGAACCCAACCCCCCCCCCCCCATTTTATTTACCGGAGGTCAAGTGTCCGGAGAGGAAGAAAGTGCCTTCATTTCAGCACTATGTGCCAGTGCCCTTTTTAAGAAATGTTTATCCCCATTAAAATGACCTTACTCTGCCCCTTTAGCTGGGTAAAGGCTTTACCACAGGTCTCACAAACCAATGGTTTCTCGCCATCGTGAACCCTTTTATCTGGGTTTAGACTAGATTGATGAGTGAAAGCTTTACCACAGGTCTCACAAATGAATGGTTTCTCACCAGTGTGTACTCTGCCATGCCGAAGCAGTCCATTTTGCTGAGTAAAGGCTTTACCACAGGTCTCACAAACGAATGGTTTCTCGCCAGCATGTACCCTCTTATGTTTGTTTAGACCATTTTGCCGAGTAAAGGCTTTACCACAGGTCTCACAAACGAATGGTTTGTCGACAGTGTGCAGTCTCTCATGGTTGTCTAGATGGATTTGCAGAGGAAACGCTTTACCACAGATTTTACAAACGAAGGGTTTCTCGACAGTGTGTACACGTTCATGCTGACGCAGAAGACTTCGCTGAGCAAAGGCTTTACCACAGGTCTCACAAACGAATGGTCTCTCACCCGGGTGCAGCCTTCCATGGGCGAGGTTGCTGGCTACATCTGTTAGTGTTGGGGGGAAACAAAATTTGCAACAAATAATCCAAAATTCAACGCTTAAGATTTTGAAGGATTGGGAAAGTACTACACGTACATGTACAAGTACAATTATACATGGCCAAGAGAATATTTCTTCGAATGGCACATGTCCATTCTGTCGGAGGCTAAGCGGAGGCTAAGCGTATGGAGAAATAAATAGTCTACATTTCAGCACATATATGCCAGTACCCTTTTTAAGAAATGTTTAACCCCCCGATAAACTTGACCTTGCTATGCCCCTGGTAAAGGCTTTACCACAGGTCTCACAAATGAATGGTTTCTCACCAGTGTGTACTCTGCCATGCCGAAGCAGTCCATTTTGCTGAGTAAAGGCTTTACCGCAAGTCTCACAAACGAATGGTTTCTCGCCAGTGTGCAGTCTCTCATGGTCTCGGAGAGTACTTTGCTGAGGGAAGGCTTTACCACAGGTCTCACAAACAAACGGTTTCTCACCAGTGTGCAGTCTCTCATGGTTGTCTAGATGGATTTGCAGAGGAAACGCTTTACCACAGATTTTACAAACGAAGGGTTTCTCGCCAGTGTGTATCCGGTCATGCAGACGCAGAGCATACTTCTGAGCAAAGGCTTTCCCACAGGTCTCACAAACAAATGGTTTCTCGCCAGTGTGCACCCTGTCATGTTTGAGGAGACCAGTTTGCTGAGTAAAGGCTTTCCCACAGGTCTCACAAACAAATGGTTTCTCGCCAGTGTGCAGTCTCTCATGATTCCGTAGAGCCCCACTATGAGAGAAGGCTCGGCCGCAAGTCTCACAAACAAACGGTTTCTCGCCACTGTGTACCATTTCATGTCGTTTTAGAGTAGATTGCTTGCCAAAGGCTTTCCCACAGGTCTCACAAATGTTTGGTTTCTCACCAGTGTGAACTCTGTCGTGAATTCGAAGAATACTTGGTTTAGTAAAGGCTTTACCACAGGTCTTGCAAACGAAGCGTTTCTCACCCTTGTGCACCCTCTGATGGGCCCGAAGATCACTTTGTGAAGTAAAAGATTTATCACAGGTCTCACAACCGAATGGTTCCTCACTCTGTTGCAGCCTATCATGACCGTGATTGCTGGCTACCCGTCTGAAGTACTGGTCCATCAGAATCCCACTGGCAACATCTGTTAGTGTTGGGGGAAAAACACATAACATCAGTTATAGGAACTGGGCCCTTAACTACATAATCGCCTGAGCTGTAGGCCTAACCGTTTCTGACAAGATTAACAAACAATAACAGCAACATTCAGTAACATTATTTTTGAACAAGTGCCTTTTTTTTCTGAACAAGAGCCCTTAAAAAAAAAAGTGGCCTTTTTGTGCCAGCGGTCGTAGCTAGTGCCTTTTTGTGAATTTTGCAGGTCAAGTCGGCCTGAAAAGCGGCCTGAAAAGCGGCCTGAAAAGCGCCATTTATTGTCCATTAGTGTGCATAATATAATTGCAACCCCCCCTTGCCCCCATTGGAAGATGGTACCAGAACCAACCAACCAACCAACCCCCATTTTATTTACCGGGGGTCAAGTGTCCGGAGAGGAAGAAAGTGCCTTCATTTCAGCACTATGTGCCAGTGCCCTTTTTAAGAAATGTTTATCCCCCATTAAAATGACCTTACTCTGCCCCTTAGATGGGTAAAGGCTTTACCACAGGTCTCACAAACCAAGGGTTTCTCGCAGTCGTGAGCCCTTTCATCTGGGTGTAGACTAGATTGATGGGTGAAGTCTTTACCACAGGTCTCATAAATGAATGGTTTCTCACCAGTGTGTACTCTGCCATGCCGAAGCAGTCCATTTTGCTGAGTAAAGGCTTTACCACAGGTCTCACAAACGAATGGTTTCTCGCCAGCATGTACCCTCTTATGTTTGTTTAGATCATTTTGCCGAGTAAAGGCTTTACCACAGGTCTCACAAACGAATGGTTTGTCGACAGTGTGCAGTCTCTCATGGTTGTCTAGAAGGGTTTGCAGAGGAAACGCTTTACCACAGATTTTACAAACGAAGGGTTTCTCGACAGTGTGTACACGTTCATGCTGACGCAGAAGACTTCGCTGAGCAAAGGCTTTACCACAGGTCTCACAAACGAATGGTCTCTCACCCGGGTGCAGCCTTCCATGGGCGAGGTTGCTGGCTACATCTGTTAGTGTTGGGGGGAAACAAAATTTGCAACAAATAATCCAAAATTCAACGCTTAAGATTTTGAAGGATTGGGAAAGTACTACACGTACATGTACAAGTACAATTATACATGGCCAAGAGAATATTTCTTCGAATGGCACATGTCCATTCTGTCGGAGGCTAAGCGGAGGCTAAGCGTATGGAGAAATAAATAGTCTACATTTCAGCACATATATGCCAGTACCCTTTTTAAGAAATGTTTAACCCCCCCCGATAAACTTGACCTTGCTATGCCCCTGGTAAAGGCTTTACCACAGGTCTCACAAATGAATGGTTTCTCACCAGTGTGTACTCTGCCATGCCGAAGCAGTCCATTTTGCTGAGTAAAGGCTTTACCGCAAGTCTCACAAACGAATGGTTTCTCGCCAGTGTGCAGTCTCTCATGGTCTCGGAGAGCACCTTGCTGAGGGAAAGCTTTACCACAGGTCTCACAAACAAACGGTTTCTCACCAGTGTGCACTCTCTCATGGTTGTCTAGATGGATTTGCAGAGGAAACGCTTTACCACAGATTTGACAAACGAAGGGTTTCTCACCAGTGTGTACCCGGTCATGCAGTCGCAGAGCATACTTCTGAGCAAAGGCTTTCCCACAGGTCTCACAAACGAATGGTTTCTCGCCAGTGTGCACCCTGTCATGTTTGAGGAGACCAGTTTGCTGAGTAAAGGCTTTCCCACAGGTCTCACAAATATATGGTTTCTTGCCAGTGTGCAGTCTCTCATGATTCCGTAGAGCCCCTCCATGAGAGAAGGCTCGGCCGCAAGTCTCACAAACAAATGCTTTCTCGCCATCGTGTACCCTTTTATGTTTTTTTAATGTAGATTGCTGAGCAAAAGCTTTCCCACAGGTCTCACAAATGTATGGTTTCTCACCAGTGTGAACTCTGTCGTGATCTCGAAGAAGACTTGGTTTAGTAAAGGCTTTACCACAGGTCTTGCAAACGAAGCGTTTCTTACCCTTGTGAACCCTCTGATGGGCCCGAAGATCACTTTGTGAAGTAAAAGATTTATCACAGGTCTCACAACCGAGTCGTTCCTCACTCTGTTTCTGCCTATCATGGCTGAGATTGCTGGCTACCCGTCTGAAGTACTGGTCCATCAGAATGCCACTGGCTCCATGTCCATCTATTAGTAGTGTTAGGGAAGTAACAAACATTTTGTAACAACTTACATGTATCCAAAATTCAACACTTCACTCACATTTTGAAGGATTGGGTTTTAAGTACTACACGTACATGGCTAAGCGAAAACAATTTTCAAATGTTAATTATCTGTCATGGACATGACTTTCTGCCTTTATCCTTGGCATTTGTAACACAGGGCTAGGCTGTAGTGCAGATCCAGAGAGATTATATACTGTCGGGGAGGGGTTTGTGGTTGTGCCGAGGGGGAGGGGGAGGGTGAAAGGCTCTCTAAATGTCCCACAAGTATATGAGCTTTTTTTTGGTTATTGCCGGGGGGGGGGGGGGGGGGGGGGGGGGGGGGGGGGAGGTGGGAGGTGCCTATATCTGCCTCTGAGGCCTATGGTCCATTTCTTGGTGACCGTGTATTTACAGGACCAGTTCCTAATAAGGGAACAAAATCCACTTTTAAATCATTTGACCTACCAAACTAGTTGGCAACATTAAGAACATGCAGGTATACACTGTATCATAGATAAAGGGCAGATTTTGAATTTTTGAGGGAAATTTAGGAGTAAAATGACAATGACAACAAAAAAACACAACACGAATATAAATATGGCGATCACGGCACCATGTACATGATGTACCGTGAACATGATGTATGGTTTACAGTCCTTCTGATTTGAGGCGTGCGATCACACCCCCACACCATCGCACACCTAAAAGCCTCCCGAGAAGTGTGAATAATTGCACGCCTGAATTTCCCTGGACCACAGATCACACACCTAGAAAATCACACACCTAGAAAATCACACACCTAGAAAAAAACACGCGCCTAGAAAAATCCAGGTGTGCCTTTTTCCACACACCTGTGACTTTCTAATCAGAAGGACTGGGTTACGGTTGGTGCCGTGCGCTGAATTGCACGGCACCAACCGTAAACCGCGTAGGAAAATCATAATTTCTACCACAAGAAACTTTCAAAAATAAGGCGATCGTGTATCTACAGGCGCGGTTCTAGTGTAAGGGAACAAAATCCACTTTTAAATTATTTGACCAACCAAGCTAGTTAGTTGGCAACATTAAGAATGTAGGTATGACATAGATAAAGGGCAGGGTTTTGAATTTATGAGGGAAATTTGGAGGTAAAATGACGATGAGAATGACAAAACGCATCATGAAAAATAAAGACGACGCTCACTGTGTGATTTACATGTACCATGTGTACCGTGAGCACGGCACCAACTGGCCCGTAAATCGCGTAGGAAAATTTTAATTTCTACTGGGAGAAACTGTTCAAAAATTACCGAAAAGGTGTCATAATAATACATTGAGAGAAGTCTGCTTTACGTTGACAATGTCACTTTTTTCAGAATTAAAATAAAATCTTTGAGTCTAATTTGATCGAAACAAAACAGGGGCCCTACACTGCAAGATCACCAAAAATGACAAAAAAAAATCGTCATTAAGAGAAGTCTACGTCTGCTTTAGGTTGAAATTAATGAAAAGGAAATTTTTGAGTAATAAAAAACATCCTCGACTCTAATTTGATTGAAACTGAACAGGGACCCTAATGACCTAGCTTGAGTAACTCTAGCCCGACTGCGTCTGGCCGTACGCAGTCGGGCTAGAGTAACTCCAGCTGACATGCTCCATATTCATTCACAAGTGAATAAATATGGAGCATGTCAGCTGGAGTTACTCAAGCTACTCATGACCCTACAGTGACGATCGCCCACTTTTTGATTATGATTTTGAATTGTTTTGTATAGGCCTTGGCCTACATAACATTAACATGTATATTATTGTATTGGTAGTGGTACCGAGTTAACTATTCCACACTCAACCAAAACCTCAGCATGTCTATGGAATGTGTACGTACTTTTGAGTACTAGGTGCTGGTGGAGAAGTGCCTTTACTGTCCATGATGACGATGTGCCATGGCCCGGCATGATGGTTGAAGAATATTTGACCATGGAGCTGTTGCTTACATTTTCATGTATTTCTTCCATTATGCAAAGAAGTTAAGAAGAGCCAACTGTCCTGCACTACACTGTACAGCATGCAGCAATTGTTCAACTTGATGCTTGATGTGTAGACTCCTAAGAAGCACATTGCTTATCCAAGGAGAAAAGTGCTGTAGTCAAATTTTGTTTCGGAGTAATTGCAGAATACCCCGCCACTCGGAAATACACCCCTAAAATCTCTGGCTTCGCGGTTGGAATCAACTGGAAAAAGAAACAATTCAACTTCCAGTTCCATGCCAGCTACGCGGATTTTGAGTGGGGGTCCATTATTTGAGAACGAAGCAACACAAAATGAATGGGAGTTGCTGAAAAAATTCTAAGTCCAAACCAACCACCCTGTTGGCGGCTACGCGGACGGAGTGAGAGTGCAGTGGAGCATGACGCATGCATAGTACACTGAGGTCACTCAACCGTGTCCTCGTAGCGTAGCCGGCTAGCTACGACTCGACTACGAGGTGGATAGGTCATGGAGCTGTAAAACCATGGAGCTATAGCTCCATGGTAAAACACAGCTCCATGGACATGATGGATAGATTGAGTGGCGGGGTATTCTGCAATTGTGCCTTTATTTTATGGAGGGTTTACTATGTACTATTACTAAGCCCCACCATATTTTTTTTACCGATTTATCTCTTCGTACGCCTGGCATACGAACATGACAAAGCAAAGCTCGGAAGTCGAACAGACACGACAATCGACAGACTTCTACTTTTTAGGAGTCTACACGTTCGCGTTGTCGCAGGGTGACCGTAAGGTCGTGGCCAAATTCTGCTGAATCTGTCAGATTTATCAAAAATCTGCCCAATTCCACAGAATTACTCGAAATACACTATAAACACTTAAAATCACACGCAGATGTTGTAGTATTGCCTTAAATACGGTTCAAATTACATTACAAACAATCTGTAATCACATAAAGATGTTATGAAATTGCATAAATTTCAGGCAAAAACGCGGTTGTGTCATGACGAAGTTTGGTGTGAACCTCAGCCTAGACCAGCCTACCTGTCCCATATGCATTATGCAAGGGATTGTTTGAAAAGATTAAAGCTTTTTTAACAAATGTACATTTTAGGGTACTTTTTTCAAATTTGCTGTTTTTCTATAAAATGACAATTTTTGCAAAATTCTGCCAGAAATCTGCCAAAAAAATCCACTCTGTCAAATTTTCTGTCAAGCTCGTTTTTTTTTAACAAAAACTGTCAAAAGTTAGCCGAAAATCGGCTTAAAACGGTCACCATGTTGTCGCACAACTTCTGTTTCGACTTTTCGTTGACGGGCAAGTGCGCCCCCTATCACATCGGAAGTGGGTCGTATTTTTTTGCACTCACCCTTGCCCCTCCCGATGCTTTTTCCCGTCCTTGAAATAAAATACATGTAAATGTAATTTCATTTAAATAATTTGTAATTACAGGAACAGGTGCAATCACAAAAGTCGTTCTCTAAACTATTTTCGAAAATCTGAACTCATAAATAAAGTAGTTTAACCGGCTAGGGGCCACTTTTCCATTGAATTTGAAATCTTTTAAGCCATACACCCTCCCCCACAAAAAAAAAACCCTTTCACATAGCAAAATCCCGCTAATAAAAAAAACAATTGCTGGCAAATATTCAAATTCAAACATTGACAACAGTCTGAAAATTCACTGGAATTCATTTTATTGAGCTTTTCTGCTTCCAGAGAGTTGAATTAAAACTTTGTCATTCAATAAACAAAATTCAGACCAGAGAATTTTGGTTGATTTACATCTTAATTTGGAAACACATTTAAATTGAGAGAGTACAATCCAAAATCTTGTGTAAGATGGGGGGAGGGGGTGGGGGAGAGGACAATTTCTAATGCAGGGGATATCATATTGTTTATCTCTCTCCCCCCCCCCCCCATTTGTTTGTACCCCAAAAAATTTGTAGCTAACGTAATAATTCTATAGCTCAGAATAGCTGATTCAATGACTCCAAACTCTAAAGTAATGTTCAATTGCTCAAAAAAATTGGTTTAAGTGGTTAGAAATTGCCTCAGATTGCACCACAGAGCTTCTAGAATCCATCTTTTTTTACTCGTCCGGAGTCAAAACTCATAATTAAGAACTTTGAAGTAAAGCCTCATATAATGTTCCATCTCATTTAAGGCTATAAGCCATCCCCCACCCACCCCCTGCCTCTCCCCACCCCCACCCCCCCCCAAAAAAAAACACCCCTAAACTTTTACAGAGCCGAGTACACACATATCAACCCACCCAAAATATACAACATTTAAACACAAACCAGTAACAACATTATGACCATGCACTGACAATGTTTAAGGGCCAAAAATAAAAAAGTTCTACTTCCGATCACATGGCATTCGAAAATAAGGTAGGTTGGTAGAGATATTTTTTGGGGGGTGAAATTGATGGTTTTGGGCATTTTTTACCCTAATTTCTCCCATAAAAAAAATGAGGGTAGAGGCTGTCAGAATAGGGTAGGTAGGGTAACCGGAAGCAGAACTATTTTGTTTGTTTTGGTCGGGGGGGGGGGGGTTGCCTTTTTTTTAGGTTTTTCTTGTCGATGAGTGTTGCATCCTTGGGCCCGGCTGTTCCACTGCCTATGCCATGGCAAATACAGTATAGGCCTTTAGACGATCAAACATTATCATTCAATCCAAGTAGACAGTAGACTGGCGAAATGTTGTCATGGTTACCCACATTCAGGGCCTAGAGTACACTATATTGTGTATTTCAGGCAACCTCCATCCCTCCATATAAGCATCCATCCAATTTATGAAGTTTTTTTTCACAAATAAGTAGTGGGATGTCGCACTTTCTGTAGCACTCACCGGCTTTGTGGAGTCGTAACCATTGTAATAATGTATTACTTTGACCCAATTTGCCGGTTCACCCCAAGTGTACGTGGTAAGCTTTGGTGAAGAAATTTCACTACATTTTTCATCATGAACGTTATGTTTTGCATAATAACGATATATGTTTTGCATAATAGCGATATATGTTTTGGAGTGTCTTCACAAAGATAATGTTGAAATATTGAACTACTAAAATTCTGCAAGAAAAAAATTTACCCCAAAAACAAAACACAAATGCTTTACTCGCCTGTCTAATCCCTCCAATCTGTTTAGATTACTTTGCTGAGCTTAAGGCCTGAATTACCACAGGTCTCACAAACAAATGGTTTCTAGCCAGTGTGAACCCTCTGATGTTTGTTAAGATAACTTCGCAGAGCAAAAGCTTTCCCACAGGTATCACAAACAAATGGTTTTTCACCAGTGTGAACCCTATCATGCCGTTGCAAGTCACAGGGCCGTCCAAAGGCTTTACCACAGGTCTCACAAACGAAGAGTTTCTCGCCAATGTGAACCCTACTGTGCTGTTGCAAATCACTTTGCAGAGCAAAGGCTTTATCACAGGTCTCACAAATAAATAGTTTCTCGCCAGTGTGAACCTTATGAATGTCTAGATGGATTTGCGAGGTAAAGTTTTGACCACAGGTCTCACAAACGAATGTTTTTTCACCAGTGTGAACCTTCTCATGTCTGTTAAGATTACTTCGCCGAGCAAAGGCTTTACCACAGGTCTTACAAACAAAGCGTTTCTCGCCAGTGTGAAGCATGACATGTGAGCTTAGATTAGAGTGCTGAGTGAACGCTTTACCACAGGTCTCACAAACGAATGGTTTTTCGCCAGTGTGAATCCGATTATGCTGTTGCAAATCACATTGCCGAGCAAAGGCTTTACCACAGGTCTCGCAAACAAATGGTTTTTCGCCAGTGTGACTCCTATCATGCTGTTGCAAATCAAAGGGCCGTCCAAAGGCTTTACCACAGGTCTCACAAACAAATGGTTTTTCACCAGTGTGAATCCTATTATGCTGTTTCAAATCACACTGCCGAGCAAAGGCTTTATCACAGGTCTCACAAATGAATAGCTTCTCGCCAGTGTGAACCTTATGAATGTTTAGATGGGTTTGCGAGGTAAAGGCTTGACCACAGGTCTTACAAACAAATGGTTTCTCACGAGTGTGAACCCTGCCATGTCTCTTTAGATGAGTTTGCCGAGCAAAGGCTTCCCCACAGGTCTCACAAATGAATGGTCTCTCGCCAGTGTGCAGTCTCTCATGATCATATAGAGTACTTCGCTGAGAGAAGGCTTGGCCGCAAGTCTCACAAACAAACGGTTTCTCACCAGTGTGAATCCTCTCGTGCCGTTGAAGAGTACCTCGTGAACTAAAGGCTTCACCACAGGTTTCGCAAACGAAGGGTTTCTCACCTGTATGCACCCTTTCATGTGCACTAAGATCACTTTGTGAAGTAAAAACTTCACCACAGGTCTCGCAAAGAAATGGTTTCTCATCCATGTGCAGCCTTTCATGGTCACAAAGATCACTTTGTGAAGTAAAATCTTTACCACAGGTCATGCAAACAAATGGCTCCTGACACTGCTTCAACAAATCACGGCCGAGGTTGCTGGCTACCTGTCTGGAGTACTGGTCCACCAGAATCCCACTGGCTACATCTGTTTAGGGGGGAAAAAAATCTTTTAAGCGATATTCCAAAATGCAACACTTGTGATTTTGTAGGATTTTGTAGTGGATGGCCAAGAGAATATTTCTTCAAACATGAAATGTCCATTCTGTCCTGAACTTGATATTCTGTAGTCTCAATATCACCCGTTAACCACGTCTGATATATCAAAGCATGTAGATTTATGCAATCTCGCACCTCAGCCAATTGGAGTCCATTTTACTTAATCTTGATGTCTTTTCATTCCCAAATCAGGACTAAATGTTTGATTGTTCAATTCAAATGCAGTGTTTTGTAATACAACTACAGCCGGGCACGTATCGTGTAACATAATACAGAGCGCGTGACCAAAGCCTTTAAATAAACTCGAAAATGATGTTTAAATTATCTTTTTTTGCTAAAAATAAACTGGTTTTAGTGCATGGTCAGAAATTGCCTCAGATTGCACCACAGAACGTCTAGAATCCAGATTTTTTTTTCGGGCCCTTAAGCGGGCCCCGGAGCCCACGCCGTTAGGCTTGTTGCTGTGTCTCATACAGCTATATTAATGTGTCTAGGTTTTTTTTTTATTCATGTCTGTGATACAACAACAGGTGAATGACCGAACACCCGATATATAGAAAGCGACCGCTGATTGGTCAAAATCTAGAGGTCAAGATGCGGTTGTCTTGCTTAATTAATTAGCGATTCTGTTCAAATGTACTAGAGATTACATTTTCTGATGGCATGAACACAAGTCAGTTTTGACTTTTCACATATCTTTGGAATTTATAAAATAGGGCTGGGCTCAAGGGTGGATCCAGAGAGGGGGTGGGGGAGGAGGGGGGGGGGTTGGCAAAAGGCTCTTTGTCAATAAATAATAATTTGATAAAGTTTTGGTCGCTGTGGGTGGGGGGGGGGGGGGGGGGAGCACATCCCATAAGCATACCTATCCGCCATCCCTATCCGTTTGTGATTATGATCTATTTCTCTATTATTACATGTGTGTATGTATACATATTTATTGATGGATATCAGTTAACTTTTCCACTATATTCTCATCAATTTACAACAGAAACCTCTGTGAAATTTGTACATCTGTGCTTACTAGATGCCGGTGGAGAAGTGCCTTTACTGTCCATGATTCACCGAGTCAACCAACACAGGCCTGGGTAGAAGAACTGGTGTCATTCCTGCATGATTGATAAACAAAGATAACATGATAAATCTTTATTTTGTGTGAATATTCTGAATCAATCATTGGGTATTAACCCAGTGGGGGGGGGGGGGGGGGGGGGTCGATGATCTCAGCCATCGAGTGACAAAATATTATGAAACTTGGTTTCATATACCCAAGAAATTTCCTGACTATACATATGCTTTTCCCGCATATTATGATGTGGCCATAACACAGCTATGGCCGCATCATTATGCTGGGGAAAAAAATGAATCAAAATTTAGGTGTGATACCCTTAGCGTGTGTATGTTAAAGAAATGGGATTCTGTTTTGGTCAGGAAACCAGACAAAATTACGCCATGCAGCTCAACGTTTTTTGATGTCGAAAAACTGAGGGTGGTGAGTAAAATTTCAGATTTTACACCCCAAAAATTGTCCCATGATCCAAACTTAGTCAATTGTTCTAAAAAATTTGAGAGTTATGGATCAATCAGGGCAACTTTTTGGGTGGATTTGTGTTTCAGAAATTGGAATTCCAGACAAAGGTATTTCATCTATCATACATGTAGTGCATTTCCAAAACCCATAGCGTACTGACCCCAAAAAAATCACAAAACTAGATGGCTAACGAGACGTGCCTTCTAATTTTAGAAGTAGGTAGAGAGTGAGAGTCGAGCAGGGAAACTAGATGAAAGAACCATAGAAAGTAACTTTTTGGCGCTTGAAAATTGATTGAAAAAAGTGACATAACTTGTATGGAAATCTTTCCTGTAGGCCTAGTTTATTTACGCTTTAGAAGCACACTGTGCTTACCCTCTTTAAAGAGATAGTACTTACCCTCTTTAAAGAGATAGTACTTACCCTCTTTAAAGAGATAGAAAAGCAGTCCCGCCTTTTTCAGATGTCTATAGTTTCCAGGTTCGTTTGCACACGTTTGCGTATCTAAATTCCAACACAAAATTACACGAAAAATAGACGTCTGAAAAATGTGGGAGTTCTTTTCTATCGCTATAAAGAGGGTGAGTATGCTTCTAAAGTGTAAATAAACTACAAACATGACAAATACAGTCTAAATGTGAAACTCAAAATTTGACAAAGTTCTACGTTTTCGGGTACATGTAGTCCGAAAATTAATTTGAGACTCTAGTCTCATTACTGTGTATGAGAGTCCCAAAACTTAGGGTATTGAAAACATGCAATACAAGATAATGGCACCTGAAACAACCAGTCCAACACCGCTTATACTACTGCATCAATCAACCATGCCAACAATTTTTAATTAACATGTGGCATGAACCGGGAACTAGTCTCAATTTTCTACACATTTTTCCATAGTCAGCCACCAGACTAATGAAACTGAATGAAGAGGTCAGTCTTTTCAAATAGTTGGACCATGGTTGGACTTGTACCAGTCTAGTCTTTAGCCTCATTTTGAAATCACTTGACTTCCCTCGCATGTGCAAAATATTGAGGAAAAGTCTCCTCTAAAAATTGAATTGAGTCTGCAAACTTGGTTGGTAAAATACGGAGGACCTTTTCTTTGCCCAGCAGAATTTTGGAGAAATTTGCTGGCTAAACTGTGAGTAAAGTGGGCCTGATTTAGTTTTGCAGGTTTCAGAGGGGTGCATACCTATGTTCCCCAATACCGATGTTCCCCATCCCTAACCCTAAGCCTAAACCTAAACCTAACCCTAACCCAAAGCCTAAGGATTTTGGGGAACATCAGCATTGGGGAACATCGGGTAGATCCCGTTTCAGAGCACTCCAGACACTAACTGGGGCGCTTGAACTCCTTTTCTGACATTTGGGATTTTGGTCTGTCGTACTAGCGCCCCACTACGAACGCAATCTCATGACCTATGTATAAATCATCTGGCTGTAACTGCGGTCTTTAAACAGCTGCAGTCAGATGTCTTTATACATAGGTCATGATAAATTACCCAGAATGCCATTCCCACTTCCTTTACAAGATTCTGTGAAGCTCATCAGCCCTTCCCAGCGCCATGTTTGCAGGGCGGGGGTACGAGCAAAATAAATACGGGGCACAACTATAGAATACAGGGCCACTCCATTCTATATCCGCGCATCCATGGCTGCGTGGATGCGCAGTCGGTTTACTATAGCGCCCTCTATTGATTAAAATTAACTTTATGCCTACTCCGCATCCGCGCATCCAGGCATCCAATAAAGCTACATTTGCACACGTTTGCGTATCAAAATTTCAACATGAAATTTCACAAAAATTAAACATCTGAAAAAGGCAGCACTTTCTGATTAGCCTACATGTATATAGAGGGTGAGAATGCTTCTAAAGCAAAAAAAATCTACAAAGTAAGCCTAAATGTGAAAATCAAAATTTGGCAAAGTCGACATGTTTTTTGTACATGTGGATGTGTGGCCTATGTTTACGGAGGCAGTCCAGTAAATAGGCCACATTTATGGGGCTACACTACGTGGAGCCTCATAGTTCTAGGAGTACAACGACCCCACTCCTCACTTCGCATCCTACTCCTAGAACTATGAGGCTCCGCGTGAGCGGAGCCTCATAGATCAAGAAGCCCGCAAAATTGCCTGCAGCACAAAACACTAATAAAGTACAAAAACGTCCATCAAAATGCAGCCATTTCACACAGAACCGCTGCACAGTTTGCCCCTATACTCCGTACTTTATCTCTTGACATACTCACGTATCTTGTGCGGAACTAACATAGGTGGATTCTGTCGGTTTTTAGGCCAAAATGATGAAAAATATGCCCTTTCCGCACTGAGCCAACCTGACACTTGAAACGTGCACGCATATGATCGAGCGATGATTTTCGGTTCGCTCGGAGCGCGCCGCGGGGGGTACGGTACAAGCGAAATGATGTGCATGCGTACAAGTGCATGTACCGTACCCCCCGCGGCGCGCTCCGAGCGAACCGAAAATCATCGCTCGATCATATGCGTGCACGTTTCAAGTGTCAGGTTGGCTCAGTGCGGAAAGGGCATATTTTTCATCATTTTGGCCTAAAAACCGACAGAATCCACCTATGTTAGTTCCGCACAAGATACGTGAGTATGTCAAGAGATAAAGTACGGAGTATAGGGGCAAACTGTGCAGCAGTTCTGTGTGAAATGGCTGCATTTTGATGGACGTTTTTGTACTTTATTAGTGTTTTGTGCTGCAGGCAATTTTGCGGGCTTCTTGATCTATGAGGCTCCGCTCACGTGGAGCCTCATAGTTCTAGGAGTATTCGCATCCAACTACAAAAAAAAACCTTTTCTGGCGTGGCCCTGCATTCTATAGTTGCTCCAAATACGGTAACGAAACTTGAACTTGGACGATTGAGGGCTTATATTTCGGCGGATTCCTAACTTTCGTTGCTTTGCATTTTTGCAAATAAAAATATTAAAACTCCTTAGCTGGAGTTACCCAGCCCTGAGTTTTATCATTGGGTTGTCATCTAGGGCTGGAGCGAGTTTTTCTCGTAACTTGTAGTATAGGCAAAAAATTTTGGAAAATGTTCAATTTTGTCCCCGTTACACACTAATTGCAACTGCAACTCACCTCAAACTTGCCTGGAATAACCATTACACAGGTCCTTGAAGTAAAAAACGATCCAAAATGAAGATTCAGCCTACAATTGCAGTGAAAACAGGAGGAATAACCGCTAACCTGACAACCTTGCTGGCATGGCCAGGACCGCAATTGGTTTGTGCACAAAAAAAATTGTGTACAATGAATGGCGGGTCGATTAACAGGCACAGAGAGCGATCGCTGTCAACTACTCGTTTTGCCGGCTGCGCTGGCTGTTGGCGCATGACGTCACGCGGAAGCGTAACACCCGATGACTGTTTCATGCACTAATATAAGGTTTACCACTCGCATCACAGCCAGCTTTGGTACAGGAACCGCAACCAATAGTGCATGAAACAGTCATCGGGTGTTACGCTTCCGCGTGACGTCATGCGCCAACAGCCAGCGCAGCCGGCAAAACCGAGTAGTTGACAACGATCGCTCTCTGTGCCTGTTAATCGACCGCCATTCATTGTACACAATTTTTTTTGTGCACAAACCAATTGCGGTCCTGGCCATGCCAGCAAGGTTGTCAGGTTAGCGGTTATTCCTCCTGTTTTCACTGCAATTGTAGGCTGAATCTTCATCGTGGATCGTTTTTTACAGGCAAGTTTGGGGTGAGTTGCAGTTGCAATTAGTGTTTAACGGGGACAAAATTGAACATTTTCCAAAATTTTTTGCCTATACTACAAGTTACGAGAAAAACTCGCTCCAGCCCTAGATGACAACCCAATGATAAAACTCAGGGCTGGCTAACTCCAGCTAAAAACTCCTCAGAATCAGATGCAAAATTGCAATTGCAAATAAAAGTTCCTGAGATTTCACCCCAAAACAGTCCTCAAACTACCTTATGTGCCCCCTGAAGGCTTCAGTGGGAATTGAAAATACAAATGGTCGTAAATAGGTTCACATACCTCAGGGAAGAAAGAGAAATTTCACCTTTAGTTTCATTGGAAACCAATCCTCGTCGTGCTGGAGGCCGCCATCTTGAATTACTCGGCGGCAGGGTGACCGTAAGGTCACAGGCAAATTCTGCTAAATGCATTTCAAAAATCTTTCAGATTTGTCAAAAATCGGCCAAATTTCCCAGAATTACTCGAAATACACTAACACTTAAAATCACATGCAGATGTTGTAGTATTGCCTTAATTAAGGTTCAAATTACATTTTAAACATTCTATATATAGTCACATAAAGAGCCTTTAAATTACATTATAAACATTCTATAGTCACATAAAGATGCTATGGAATTGCGTAAAATTCAGGCAACTTGGTTCCAGCCCAGTGAACCTCAGTACCTAGCCAACCCGTCAATTAATATTATACAAAGGTTTGTGTGAAAAGGCTGAAGCCTTTTAAAACAAATGTACCATTTTCTTTTCAAATTTGCTGTTTTTTTCTGTAAAACCATTTTTGCAGAATTCTGCCCGGCATGCAGAATCTGCCCAAAAAATCCATTCTCTCAAATTTTGTGTCAAACTATTTTTAAACAGAAAAAAATCTGTCAAAGTTAGCCGAACATCGGCTAAAACGGTCACCTTGCTCCTCGGAAAACGAGGATCGAAAAAAGTGACGTCCCACTTGGTAGGGGGGGGGGGGTATATATCCTTCCTATCCACACTTTTTGACAGGCGGGGGGGGGGGGGGTTATTGGATCCCCCCCCCCCCGCTTTTCGTGGAGAGAAACTAAAAAGTTGGATATTTCGAACTGAATTCCAACAACAGAAATGCATTCAAAAGTACTGAAAACATTAGAGACACACTTCTGGAAAAAATGGTTCGGTTAACCGTTATTCTTTATGATGGGACTTGCGGTTTTGCCTAAGTCAATTGAGCGTGATCGGCTGACTGGTAAGGTTTACGCACAAAACCCTCGGTCGGTGAGGAGTTGCATTAGAAAGCTGGCCGAACCACTTTTTGCGAAAGTGTGCCGGTAATGGAGCCTGCCGGTAATGCTGAGCCTGCATACTGCCAAATTTACCAATAGCATCCCTACATTTTCTCGTGCAAATAGGACCGATTTTTGGACCCTAATTTTATCAAATCTGCTCTTAGAGAATAGCCCAAGAGCTAGGGAGATGATCCTCTGCTATATTCGCACGATTGCACCGATTTTGAAACTAGACGTTCTCGTTTTTTACAAAAAAATTGTGGGGTCACTTTCTATGCAAATGACTCGCGTAGAAATGTTTGAAACCCTAATCAAAATTATTGCGCCCGCTGTCGGTCTTATTGCGCCATTCTGATATATCGTCTGCATAGCCACCCCCCCCCCCCCCCCACCCACCCCCACCACACCGAAAAATAATAGTAACTAACTACTTTTTAAAAATGTGCTCGTTTATTCAGAAATTCATGAAGCATAATATCCAAACTGATTGGATGTTTCCAAAGTGTCTTTCCCATTTGCAAAAGTTCTTTTTTTTAGAATCCCATTCAATTAGAGACACACTCCTGGAAAAAATGGTCCGGTTATAAAACTTATTCTTATAGTCATCCCCCATCCCTCCACCCCCCCCAAGTCCCCGACACAGATTTACGCCACTGGTTCTTGTGCTTTTCGTGGAACAGTTGAAGAACAAATACTTCAGGAGAATAAGAGACTCAGCTCTGAGCCCCCTCCCCAACCACTTCCCGACTCACTCACCCAATAAAACTGCGCGTGATTCAATGTATTAAATGCTCCCTTTTGTAAACACTTTTTTTTTTAATGAATCATGCTGGAATTCTTTCTTGTTATCTGAAATAACAACCAACCAAACTCAACGAGAAAAAAACCATCCACTTTTTGTTGCGTCATTGGATTGCCGTTGATGTTGCATCTGCGACGCCCAATTTCACTTCACACGACTTGACACGCTATGTTGACGTTTGTTTCTTTGAGTTTATTTGTGAAAGTCACAATGGTATTTGATCGGTTCAATATCGCTGGATAGGGATATACAATGTACGTGATGATACGTATGACTGTTAAATGTTAAAGGGCCCATGAAATTGATTTTTTTTAAATTCTATCATTGAAACGCACCTTCCTGCATTTGTTTTAAGGTGCCATGCCAAGGACTGGGAGGGGGAGCCAGTGGTGCACTCAGGATTTGGCTTGGGGGAGGGGGCTCAAAAAAGTTTCAAAAAAATGTTGCCCAAAATGTTTTGCCGCAGAAAAAAAAATCGGGGTTTTTTTTTGGGGGGGGGGGGGGCGTACCGTATTTTGACGTTGGTGGCGCCACTTACACTCCTATTATACTACCCAAAAATAGGTCACATACTATCACCAAGGTCAAATCGTGGAACTTTACAAATATTAAATTACCAAATTACCTTGGGTGCGCCACTGTTATGGGGGAGCAATGGAGAGAACCCCCTCCCCAACAAAATTGTGTTTTATTCATTTAACAAGAAGACGACTATTATTTACTTGATGCTAACTCTTGCCCTTTCCCTGTAATCGTATTTGTGAAATATGAATGAAAAGAGAGATAAGAAAAAAAAGAAAAAGACTGAGAGCGCCCTTTGCGTTAAAACGCCCCACCCCGCTTTTCTAATTTGAACCGCCGTCTTGCCGATTTTCCCCATCCACAATGTGTTTCCTGAGACTCTCCCTTGGTTCGTGTAACAGCGAATGAACGAATGAGCGAACAAACAGCATAATTATGGGGAAGGAGGCCCCCTCCCTTTGTGCCTCACACACAAATTTTAGGGGAGGGCAAAAAATTTCAGCTTTTTATTGTCAAGAACCCACTGCTTTTCCCTTGCAAAAACGTTCCCAAGTGCCCCTCCTCTGCAAACTAAAGCCCAGTAAGGCCTACGCCACTGAAACATGGTGTTCCTTAATGTTTCAATGTTGTGGTTTAATTTTTCGAATGGCGTGGTTCAATAATTTTTTAAACGTCGTTTCAACTTTCGTGGTTTGCGAGCTAGCGCCATTTCGAATGATCACACTGTTGTTGCCACTCCATGCAGGCGAAGTCAGCCCATAAAAAAGAGCGGGAACCATGAGTTCATTCATCTTTCGCAACACTGTGAACTTCACCAAAGAGGGGGTCTTGACGTTAACAGAAATATTGTTATTGTGCCGAGCATGGAAGTATTCGTTATGATATTTTCAAAACTTGTAAAGAGTCATTCTCACAACAGCATGTTCTTAGATTATGACAGGTCGTATGCTAATGTAATTTTGAAAGGTAAAAAAATGTTTAGGTAGTACAAAATAATTGAAAGTATAAACAAAAGTGCATGATACATATATATTATCCGAATACCAGAAAAGCATGGAAACTAAATCAGGGGAAAATGGTCAAAATTGCGCCAATATCACAACTTTGTACCTCCTAGATACGTGTTTATTGGAATTCAATGCATAGTTCGAGTATACGGTAGTGTAGTTTCGCTAATAGTTTTAAGATCGATTTCTCTATATCTCAGTGCAATAATGGTCATTGGAATGAAATCAACACAAGTCATAGTCTTCGTGCCATGACGTCCCTATTCCAAAGCAATATTCCCGCTCAATACGTTCTTTGCGGGGGGTTCGCCGACCGAGGTTCGTGGATGTTGCGCGGTACGAATGCCGTACCGTCTACGGTAAATAATACACCCCGCTAAGAACGTCTTGCACCACACAAGGATGCCTATATTTTTGAATCAATTTTTAAACTAAACCTACAGGTAGATATGACAGTCTTTATTGAATGACTATAATATAGGCTATTGTATTTCAATTGTTTTTGGTGATAATTGTATAGCCTACATCGTCACTCTCGCTTTATAAACTTATTTCGTTGAGGCCTACAGTACATACATCATACATTGTATATAACACAATGATCATAACAGTTATAAAACAGATTATGTTTGTACGAATATCACAGTTCATATAACTTTGCAGATTGAACTTGTACATTGAGCGTGCACCAAGCAGACAATTTTGCTTCCAGTCTTCGGCCGGCCGCGACCAACCAGCTGCCATTTAGCTTGGTCTTCACACCAGTCAGTTTAAGTTAGTCAAGGCATCATAGGTAAAGTGGCCGCAGAAAATATGTTGCAACATTTCAGGGGGGAAAAAAAACACACTTTTATGCCAGAACATTTGCATTATGGCATACGTAAATTCCTATTTTTAGGTAGTTTACTATTAATCTAAGTGTACATGTGCAACGGCAAGCAGACGGCACTGTCCTATTATAGGGTCCATGAAGGCAGATCGCTTCAAACGAAGATAAACGAAGACATCACAGCAATCACGGCTAGGAAGCAACAAAGATGAAGTCCGTCACTCCCATTCCATCCGTCGTCCAAATCTTGAGCGGCTGGCTCCGTCACCACCACGGTGGGGATGATGGTGGTAAGGGGTGGTCTAGTCGTTGGCGGAGGATTGGTGGTGAGCGGTGTGGTGGTGGGTGGGGGCGTGGTAGGTTCACTCGGTTCCTGACAACTGAAGGTAGACAACATGGCTTGGAGATAATCCTCAGTGGCCACCTCAGCGCCCAGCTGGACATTCGCCTCTACCACGGCGTAATCTGACTGGAAGGGCGCTAGCAGAAAGATATACGGTAGATTTTCCTGCACATCGGTAGTGGTGCAGTCGTTGCTCTCGCCGAATCCTATCACCTCTATCTCTTGGTAGATATTTTGCTGCTGTGCTTTCTTGTACACGCACTCCACCGCCACTTTCGCTCCGTAGACGGTACCGCCGAAGCGACGGATGAAACGGGGCGGCGTGGTTCGGGTGACGTTGCCCAAGATGACGTAGTTCACCTCATCTGAGCTGGCCCTTGATACGATGGTCATAGGCTGCCAGCCTTCAGGTTCGGAGCAGGCGGTGCACACGCCTACCAGTAGCGTGAACTTCAATAGTACAATAACCGACGGTCGTCCTAACGCCGCACCCAACTCCATCGTTGAGAATAATCAGAGTTGTTTTCGGTTCAAGACGTTCAAGTGAGTTCTTGTTTTTTCGTATATAGCTATAAGTATAAAGTTGCCTTCCTCATCGAGTGCATATGCAATAAAAGAGCAAACCTTGCCTCAAGGTACTAACTTTGTTCATAGCAAACGCTCCGTGAAAAGACCAGTGCTTGGTACAGCCGAGAACAACTCGAGTATCA